ACACTATGCTGATTGTTTACATTCACTAAGAAGCTCACAAAAAAGTTTTAATATACAGTAAACCAGTATTAAATACAAATGTAACTGCTAATAACTGTAAATGAAAAAAGTGTCTTGGATGCAGATGCCATCTGAACAAAATGAAAGCTAGTGTCAGTCATATTTGACTCCGCCTACACCATATTAATGCACCAAATATACACATTTGATGTTCAATAAAGATTTGTAGGGAGCTGTTTCGATATGTATAATGTAATTTGAATTGCTCTTTTGAAACTTGTTTTTCCTTTAGTCATATGACTGGCACAGCCAGGTGCTAGACTATTTTGCGCCCTAGGCAAGACCAGTTACTTTCCCTCCCCCAAAAAAAGATTTTTAAAAAGAGGAGAAAATATTAATTCAACAAAACATGAAACTGCTAAATTTCTTTTAATTTGCAAAAATAAGTGCCATAAGATGCCACCAGCACTAATATTAAAGACAAAATCAGTGTCACGGACGGACTGTATCTGTGGCTGGCAGTGTCAGGGTGACAGTTGCAGTGAGTGGAGGAAAATAGATCCACACTCTGACATATCCCAGGCTGGAATTCCCCAGGCAATGGGGGGAGATAAAATACTGTGACAGCAGGCAGCCCAACCCAGCCCACACACAGAGAGAGAACATCTGAGCTGAGTGATCCCACACAGTGACAAACCCAACACAGCACACCACCACCAACACTGACACAGATCAGCAGGCACTAGAAGAGCAGGCTGGGGGATCATGATGATGTCATTACTCACTGACACATTGCACATGTGATGGATGGCTGGCCGGGTCACAATCACACAGACACAAGACATCAGAGTCAGACATTACCTTCCTCCGCTCAGTAATGGGAACAGAAGGGCTGGAACTCCACAGTGATCAGCAGCCACTAGCCGGCTTGCAGTAAGTGACTGAATCTGTGAGAACACTGAAAGGAGCAGCAGCAGATCAGCTGCTACACTGGCCCCAGACACCGGGCATCTTCTTCTGTCCTTTCTTACTCCCCTTGGCTGAAGGATCATTCATGATGTGGCAGCGTCCCCACACAGAGAGTGCCGGTCTGTGCTGCACCCAGGTGCCCTTAGGTGGCAGTGCACCCTAGGCAGCTGCCTAGTTTGCCCAGTGGAAGCACCGTCTCTGCACAGCACCAATCAGGGCTGTGCAGACAGACTCATACTGTAGTAATAGAAGCCCCTCCTGAGGATCGTTCTCTGCAGATGCCAAAGAACAGGGAAAAATCGTGATCACACAACACTGCTGCAGGAATTAGGTACTTAGAGGATTTAAAAAAAAACATACAGTGGCATGATACAGTATATATGATTTATGTGAATTAATTATGGCAATTAACTCTCCTCTGTATGGTATCACTTTAAATAGTTTGTTTCAACCCTCTAAGTGCCACTTTTGCTGGACATTTTGGACAATTATAAGACAAGTTCACCTTTTGTAACATGTTATAGCCATATTCAGGGTGTAATATATTACAGATGCACCGCTCCCCGCTCTCCAATTTGACAGCGAGCAGGGGATTTTCTCTACCTGCTCGCTGTCACATTTTAAACAAAATGCAGTATTACTTCTAGTACCGTGGTGGTGAACCTATGGCACGTGTGCCGCAGTGGGCATGCAGAGCCCTCTCTGCCGGCACGTGAGTCACGTTGCCCCACTACTGCCCTGCAGCCTAGCATTGGGTCCCATGCATGTGCTGTTGTGGCGCTGTCCGATGACATCACAAGCCATGACTACCTCCCTAGCCACTCGTCAGAGCTTTCAGCGTGCCTTCAGCCAGCAGTGAATCTGCTACAGCAGCTAGCTGCTACAGACAGGAATGCAGATTTGCTGCACAGGATGTGAGTTTTTATACATATTTAACTGAGACTGACATTCTTTTAATGTTGTGCTGTCCCCCTGGTATCTAAATCTGCAACATTAGGAACATTGCCATTGCCCAACTGTGCTGGTGGTCAGTGTAACATTGCCCCTCTGTGCTGGTGGTCAGTGTAACATTGCCCGTCTGTGCTGGTGATCAGTGTAACATTGTCCCTCTGTGCTGGTGGTCAGTGTAATATTGCCCCTCTGTGCTGGTGGTCAGTGGAACATTGCCCGTCTGTGCTGGTGATCAGTGTAACATTGCCCCTCTGTGCTGGTGGTCAGTGTAACATTGCCCCGTCTGTGCTGGTGATCAGTGTAACATTGCCCATCTGTGCTGGTGGTCAGTGGAACATTGCCCGTCTGTGCTGGTGGTCAGTGGAACATTGCCCGTCTGTGCTGGTGGGTCAGTGGAACATTGCCCCTCTGTGCTGGTGGTCAGTGGAACATTGCCCCTCTGTGCCCATGGTCAGTGTAACATTGCCCCTCTGTGCCCATGGTCAGTGTAACATTGCCCCTCTGTGCCCATGGTCAGTGTAACATTGCTCCTCTGTGCCCATGGTCAGTGTAACATTGCCCTTCTTGCCCATGGGGAGTGTAACATTGCCCTTCTGTACCCATTGTCAGTGTAACATTGCCCTTCTGTACCCATTGTCAGTGTAACATTGCCCCTTCTGTACCCATTGTCAGTGTAACATTGCCCCTTCTGTACCCATGGTCAGTGTAACATTGCTCCTCTGTGCCCATGGTCAGTTTAACATTGCCCTTCTCTGCCCATGGGGAGTGTAACATTGCCCTTCTGTACCCATTGTCAGTGTAACATTGCCCTTCTGTACCCATTGTCAGTGTAACATTGCCCTTCTGTACCCATGGTCAGTGTAACATTGCCCCTCTGTGCTGCATGTGTTTCTTTCAAAATAACGAAGTTGAGCCACAATTTATCAGCATGCATACAACAGCAAAGATCACATTAATTGTGCAAAAGCACACCAAATGCAAACTTTTACTTTTCAATAAAAAGCTGTTTGTATCATTAAAAGCTCTGTCGTGTTTTTCTTTTAAAACAAAAGATGCTAATGTACAAGTTTTTTTTTTTCTAAACTAAAACCTCAGTATTCAGGTTTAATTGCAGTGTTGGCACTTTGCGATAAATACGTGGTTTTTGGGTCATAGTTTGGGCACTTGGGCTCCAAAAGGAGCCTTCACTGTTCTAGTATTTCTTTGAGTCTTCCTGTCAGAGTGTAACTGCCTGCCCATACGAGGTACAAGTAGACAGATACACTGGCAAGTCTGCAAGAACCCTGCGTTTATTTATTTTTTCTACAAAGCTGAACATATCCTGTAAATTAAGTTGAAACATAAAAGACTTGCAGGATCACTAGGTGAAAATAAAAGAAAAGCCTAAAAAAAACAAATGCAGACACTACATCTAAGAATTGGTATTCTGCAATAAAATGCATTTTTGGTTTTGGTTTTTAAAGGTGAATTCCAGCTTAAACCTAAATAGCTTTAAAAGTGCCCCCTCCTAACACTTATGCTGACCAACCTCTGTAAAAAAGATGTATATACTTACCTATTTTCAGCCCACTTCAATCCGGTCACATGATCCGACTCCGTTAGGTAAGTCAGCGGCAGCTGCAGGAGAGAGAAGCGAGCACTGACAATGGGTGGCCCATAGGAGCCTATGGGTGACATTACCACTCCCAGCTTTAACCATTGTTGATGAATGCTCTCTCCTCTCCCCTGCAGCCGGCAATGGCTGACACAGAGGATTATGTGACGGGATCGGAGTTGCCTGAAAATAGGTAAGTACAGTATAAACATCTTTTTTGCACAGGCTAGTCCCACAAAGGTGTTAGGAGGGTACGAGGGGACATTTGTAAGGCTAGTTAGGTTTAAGCTTGCATTCTATTTTAATGACACTTTAAATGTTATCTGATACAGGGGTGTATTTACCACAAGGCAAACAAGGCACTTGCCTAGGGCGGCATTTTTCAGGGGGGCAGCACCTCCCCCCAGAAGAAGGGATGAAAGCAGGGACATGTGCACCATGGGAACCATAGGTGGAATCCAAGAGAGGCTACGGGCTGCTTGATAGTGAATGTAGAGCCTGACTCTGGAAGGCTCTCCCAGGTGGGGGGCAGGGGTATTGTTGGTCAATGAAGAAAATAAACGCTAGTAGGAGAAACTAATGGGACTTTTAAGGTACCATACCATTATGGGTATAAAGATGCATAATCATAAACAATATTGGATAAAATAGAGCATATTTTATTATGACATTATAAAAAAAAACACACCGAGTGGAAAGCAAGACAAACGCCAATGTAGGCACATACCTAATGAGTCAACAAAAATATAAGAAACCAAAAATGCTTTTCCATAAAACTGAATCCAAAACTGGATAATCAGTCAAAAGATCCGACGCGTTTTGTGTGATGTGACCCACTTCTTCAGGGAAAATGGAAAAACTGAGCAACAATGCCTACAGTGGAATCAAAAATATACAACCAATTAACAATGAAAATACATGTACAGCATAACAATGTACACAAAATTATACAAAAAGATAGACATAAATGAAAAAAGAAGCAGCAAATTACCAGTCGATGATAGCACTCTGTTCAATAGCAGCACCTAATGTACATGAAGATTAATAGTGATTGGATACACAAAGGGAGATTTTCTGAGCACCGGGGAGGAAGCCACCAGTCTGAAAATACCTCAGATCAAATTGAGTAGCAAACACCAAGCCGTTGTTCTAAGGGTCCATACAATAATCAGTAATTAGAGATTTTTCCTTTCCTTTCTTTTCTTTTTTTCTAAAAAAATCTAAGCCTCTCCCATCTCTGAAAAAAAAAACAACTACACCCCTACTCCCCAATTGTAGTGTAGTTGGTCCAATCTAATGTGTTGTTGGTCAATGTCAGGCTCTCTCCGTGTGCGGGGGAAGGGTGCTGGTCAGTGCCCGTGGGGGAAGACGATTTTTGTCTTGCCTAGAGCAGCACAAAACCTAAATTTACCACTGATCTAATATTTGCTGAGCTGCAAAATATAGAAATCATTTACAGTTCTGACATGTAAGCTTTCAATTGCAGACACTATCACAGCATGGATGAATTCAGTCATTATGACCTCCTGGATGCAACAACAGGAAGAAAAGTAGCAGAGGGACATAAGGCTAGCTTTTGTTTAGAGGATACAACCTGTGACTTTGGGAACCTCAAGAGATATGCATGTACCTCGCACACTCAAGTGAGTAATGCCTATTTCTATTTGTGAAGACCTGGTACACATAGTGATTCAGATCCTGCTACTACCTTCTCTAACTTCTCTTTAAAAATATAAAATAAAAAAAAAAAACACTCTTTCTCTTCTTCCACACTGTTTTATATCTCAAACACACTAACAATCTCTGCCCCCTCTTTCAGGGTTTAAGTCCTGGCTGTTATGACACATATAATGCGGACATTGACTGCCAGTGGATCGATATCACTGAAGTGAAGCCAGGAAACTACATACTCAAGGTAAATTGATGCAGAATACTATTGATGTTCCAGCTTACACCTAGCTAGTCTTAAAAAGTTCCCTCCCCCGCCTAACACCAATGCTACCTAGCCTGTGTAAGAAAGCTCTATATAATTACCTCTTCTCAGGCTGCTACGGTCTGGTCACATGATCTCCCCCCCCCCATCCTGTGTCATCCAGCAGCAGGAGAAAGTGCTCCGACAATGCCTTGTAAATCCTGGAGCAGTGACATCACCCATTTATTTATTCATTTCAGGTACTTGTATAGCGCTGTCAATTTACGCAGCACTTTACATATATATTGTCCCTAACCCTCAAGGGGCGTACAATCTAAGGTCCCTAACTTGCATTCATACATACACATACTAGGGCCAATGTAATCAGGATCCAGGACTTTTCCAGAGCTTCCCTCATCCTCTGGAACTCTCTACCCCAATTTATCAGACTATCGCCTACTCTGCTCACTTTTAGGCGATCTCTGAAAACCTATCTCTTCAGGGAAGCCTATCCTGCCCTCAGCTAATAATGGAATCTTCTACTCTCCCAACCAGTCCATCCCCCACAGTTACTACCTTTTGTACCACTAGCCCCTCCCTCCTAGATTGTAAGCTCCAAGGAGCAGGGCCCTCCTATCCCTCTTGTACTGAACTGAATTGTTGCTGTATTGTCTCCCGTTATATTGTAAAGCGCTGAGCAAACTGTTGGCGCTATATAAATCCTGTGTAATAATAATTAACCTACCAGCATGTCTCTGGAGTGTGGGAGGAAACCCACGCAGGCACAGGGAGAACATGCAAACTCCAGGCAGGTGGTGCCGTGGTTGAGATTCTAACCAACGACCCTTGTACTGCCAGGTGGAAGTGCTAACCATTTAGCCACTGTGCTGCCCATAGGTTTCACTAACCCATGTGTTGTTGGTGATCTCTCTTCTGTCCCGCAGCCATGAATGGCTGACAGGGGAAGTGGATCACATGACCAGACCAGAGCAACCTGAAAATAAGTATATATAACTTTCTTACACAGGTGAGTAGCATAGGTAATATGAAGTGGGAGGGATAATTTTAAGGATCAGTCCACTCAAACAGATATTTCAGTTTTGGGTAGATGCTGCGGATTCCTATATCGCTCAGGGACTTTCACATTGGAATCACTACACTGAGATGCCAGGTTGCCAGTTACTGGAGTCTTTATAAGAGGGCATCATGCTCCTGCTGCATTTTCCATTTAGTTTACACAACAAATAATGTATCAGAATGTATGAATGTTTGAAGGGGGCTAAGAGGGAGCTCCTGCTGGGAGATCCTATTGGTGGTAAAGTTCCTGTTGCCTCTTACATACCATTTAGCCCTAGTGCATGAGTCTCCATCGTTTAGGTGCAGGTAGAAGGCACATGACCATCATCCAGCCCAACAGCTGAAGTGGCTGGATGGGGACGGAAGCTGCACCAAGCAATTCTAACATTTAGGGCTGAGCACGTCCAAGGACGGAAACAGTTTGCTTTCCAGGCATTTTTCCCTGGGTTCCTACTGCCCCAAATATTAGTACCTCTCAGTGCACTGTCCATCCACAGCAGCCATCAGTCTCTCATAGAGTTTAACAAGCTGCTGTCAGTGAACTGGACAATGCGAATGTGCCTTCTACCTACACCTAAACACTGGAGTCTCGTGCTCTGGGGCTAAATGCCCAATGTGTATGAGGCCTATACAATATGGAAAGAATGAAAAGTTATTAGAAGGGTGATTTAGCCCACCAGAGGTTATCCATACATAAAATACCACTTTTGTGAAGACAGACCCTTTAATACTTTACCACTTTACAAATATGTCTCTCAAATATTTTACTGTTTACTTCCGTCTTGTAGGTTGTGGTGAATCCCAAATATCTCGTGCTGGAGTCAGATTTTACCAATAATGTGGTGCGCTGCAATATCCACTATACAGGGCGATATGCGTCAGCCACAAACTGCCGTATCACACAGTGAGAATCATTTTATCACTTTATTTCTTTTTATCTTGTCCACACACCTACTATTCCTAATATAAGCATCACTATTTTTCTTGTTATGCAACATTCACCTGTCTAGTTTTGTTGTCTTTTCAGAGCATAAACTTATAGCTACCTAACAGTACTAACAGCATCCAGGTCCACCATTCATTGGCAGAGATCAAATTACCAATATTCAGAGCTACAATAAAGGGACTTTTCACAATTTTTGCTTACCTTTTTGACAGCTATGGAATATAGGGATATAAGGTTATGACCATACTCTGAATGGTCTAGGGTTGTCAGTGGTGTACCCCAAGGGTCAGTGTTGGGACCCTTACCTTTTAATATATTTATAAATGATATAGGGTCTGGGATTAAAAATACCATTTCAGTCTTAATCCTTCCTTAATCAGGAAAGATTAGAGGAACTGAATTCATTCTCTCTTGAGAAGAGGAGATTAAGGGGGAATATGATCAGTATGTATAAATACATCAGTGGGTCATATAGTGAATTCGGTGTAGAGTTATTCACCTTGCAGTCATCACAGAGGACAAGGGGGCACTCTTTATGTCTGGAGGAAAAGAAATTTAATCTCCAAACATGGAAAGGTTTCTCCACAGTAAGAGCTGTGAAAATGTGGAATAGACTTCCTCAAGAGTTGATTCTGGCCAGCTCAGTGGATTGCTTAAAAAAAAAAAAAAAATGATTTCCTAGATACACAGAATATAACTGGATACTAACATTTATAGGTAAAGTTGATCCAGGGAATATCCAATTGCCTCTCGGGGGATCAGGAAGGAATTTTTTCCCCTGCAGGAGCACATTGGGGCATGCTTTGCTGTTTTTTTTTTTTTGCCCTCCTCTGGATCAACTGTGGGTGTAGGATTATAACTTTTTTTTTTTTCTTTAATGGTTGAACTGGATGGACTTTTGTCTTTTTTCGGCGAGACTAACTATGTAACTATAGGAACCAGATGTTGCTAGGTTTTCCTTGAGCAGATTTTTCCTCTTAGATATGTAATCACTGACACCAATGCTTACTTTAGCTAACTGTAGGGGAAGCATTCTTCCTACTGACCACCAATGTAAGGATCATTCCTCCCACTGACCCTCAATGTAAAGATCATTCTTTCCACTGACTATCAATGTAAGGATCATTCCTCCCACTGACCACCAATATAAAGACCATTCTTCCCACTGAACCTGACCCCCAATGTAAGGATCATTCTTCCCACTGACCACCAATGTAAATAGCACTCATCCTACTGACCCCCAGTGTAAGGAACATTCTTCATCCTTGACCCCCAATGTAAGGATCATTCTTCCCACTGACCACCAATGTAAAGATCATTCTTCACACTGACCACCAACATAAGGACCATTCTTCACACCGACCACCAATATAAGAAGCATTCATCCCGATAGGCTAATATATCGTGAGCTGTAGATATCATAATTATTGCCAGGGGTTTCCTAGACCTGAAAGTTATTTCAAGGGTTCTTCCATGTTAGAAAGGTTGAGAAAGGATGTTTTAGGCCGAGCTTACACTTGAAGCACTCTTTGAAGAGAGATAAGCATTCAGATCCTTCTTCAGAGAGCATTTGACAACAGTAACCAGATGAATTTTGATCTGCCTGTGGCCACCCCGTCGATCATTTGATTGGAAAAGTTGGAAATATTTTCTCAATCGCCGGCTGTGGCCAACCAGCTGTGGGCGCTTTTTTTAGAATACGGTGCCCCATTTTGGATTCGTCCATCCACCTAATTTGTGTTTATGGAGGAATTTGTCAGTTTTTTTTATTTTCGTTCAGCCTGCTGAAAAAAAAAAAACTAAAAGTATACAGCTAGATTACGTTTGATTTTGTAGCCCAGCTGCAGTTATCATAGACATAAGTGAATCCTCATGTATTTTAATGCTGAATGCAGGGACAGGGCAAATATATATTGTATCATGCATTCTGTAGAGGATCCTTCCATGGAGTATGCAGAGAACTGAAAATAGTGAGTCATATAACTGAAGTGAAAAGACTGAGCTCAATTTGTGATGACTTTGCTGAGAAGGGAAGTGATTCCACCACTGGAATCTAAGAGGCAAGTAAAGACCTGGCATGGAACTGAATCATGCCACATACTGTCCTTTAAGTGGAAAATTGTATTTCCTTTTCACACAAAGCATGCAGTATTTTGACATCCAAATGGTCTCCAAACTAGGAATAGGACTAAGCACGTTCCATAGTATGTTACGTGGTTAAGAATGACAATTTAGAATCCAGCTTTCTCTGAATTAGATCCATTCTTTCCACCGGCAACCTTGTTTTGTGGTTAAGAATAATAATTTTCACTCAAACCTTTCTTACTGTATAATGAATTTTTTCCACCACTAGTTTCCACCTTTCCCCCTTTTTTTCCCCATCTAATATTTATTTTCTTTTTGTAGGTTCTGAGCAAAACTTTGAAGATCATTATCTGTGGTGGACTTCACTGAACCCTGCACCATAAGGGCAAAATCTCCATCCTTCCCTCCCTCTCTCCCTCCCATGATAAGCACACTAGATTTCATATTAATACTTGTGTAAAAGTGCCTTGTGGTTTGACCAATGAAATAAATTCTGTAATTTTTCTCAATGTCATGCATCAGATAGAAATGTGTGACTTCTTTTACAAACATTAAACATACAGTTTGCAGAGTATTTTGCTGCAAATAAATATTCTGCTATTATGTTTACTCTATAGAGGAGACAATGTAAGCAGAGGGTGCAACAAGATAAGTAAAAACTATTAGGAAAATATTCTGGGGAATCTGAAGAGATTCAGTTTTTGGGACCCTTGTATCCATCTACCTTCAGAAGGGCCTAACATCTGCAAGGGTCTTATGGATGGTGATAATGGTCACCAGTGGGCAAGATTGGTCAACTACAACCCTCGCTAAAAATGTCTACACTCTGTGTGCTATTGGACCCATCATTAACAATCAGGTAGTTTAGCCCTTTACCCCCATCAGGTGTAAGTAGACCAATGAAATAAATCCTATCATTTTCTCAACATCATGCATCAGATAGAAATGTGTGACTTCTTTTACAAACACTAAACATATAGTATGCAGAGTATTTTGCTGCAAGGAAACATTCTGCTTTTAGATTTTACTCTACAGAGGAGGTAAGTAAGTATAGGTTGCAACAAGACAAATCAAAAATATTAGGAGAATATGCTGAGAAAAAGAGCAGGAGCTGAGCTTTTGGCTTCCCACTGCATCAAAACTGTGTCTAAGACAGACAAGAATCTTAGGAGTACAATTTCTGCTGTATTTCCCGTGACCAGCTCAGTGGGATTTACAAATGGCTATTTAACTGAATGAACCACTTATGGATTATACCAGTCATAGCAAATATTAAAAATGAACAGTAATTTTAAAAAGTTGTAAAGTGGCACGTTTTTTAATACAGAAGAAACATTGTATGTCTTGTCTGCATGAAAGCTTCTTATCTGCCTGTTTGTACTGATGAATGAACTCCTGCATATATGTGAGAATGAGTGCACCATACACTCACTGGCCTCTTTATTAGGTACATCTGTTCAATTGCTCGGTAACACACAAATTACTAATCAGCCAATCACATGGCAGCAGCTCAATGCATTTAGGCATCTAGATGTAGTGAAGATGACTTGCTGAAGTTCCAACTGAGCATCAGAATGGGAATGAAAGGGGATTTAAGTTACTTTGAACGTGGCATGGTTGTTGGTGTCAGACATACTGATCTGAGTATATCAAAAACTGCTGATCTATTGGGATTTTCACACACAACCATCTCCAGGGTTTACAGAGAATGGTCCGAAAAAGAGAAAATATTCAGTGAGCGGCAGTTGTGTGGATGTAAATGCCTTCTTGAGGTCAGAGAAGAATGGGCAGACTGGTTGTTGTGACATTCAGATGGTAGGGCCAGAATTTGGCATAAACAACATGAAAGCATGGATCCATCCTGCCTTGTATCAACGGTTCAGGCTGGTGGTGGTGTAAAGTTGTGGGGGATATTTTCATGGCACTAGTAAAGTGGCGGGTGAGAGTACGTTTACCTTGGGACTTTGAGGGCCCTAACATAAACCAAAATATCAGTATAAAACTACAACAATATTTACAATATTATTAAAAAAAACCCATAAAATTGCATAGCAGCTGGTGTACTGGACAATGCAATGGGGTTATTTACTAGAACTGCATGGTGCGAAAGCTCTGCATAGAAACCAATCAGTTTCCAGGTTTAATTGTCAAAGCTTAATTGAACAAGCTGAAGTTAGAAGCTGATTGGCTTCCATACACAGCTGCAACAGATTCTGAGTGGAACAGTTTTAGTAAATCTCCCCCAATATGTTATAAAAGACTAAAAGGAATCCCTAGTTGGGGAATAGGTATAGTATTTCCATAGTGGTAAAGCATATGAACATTCATCTCCGAAGTGGGACAGACCCATTGCATTTCGAGATATTCTTTCTTCTGTTCCTCAGGGGTTCACAGGGTATGACATATCTACAATGAAAGTAAAAAATGGTAATTATAACACATACAGTAGAATACATAAGAAAGTATACCAGGATTATAGGCACTGGTCTCGAAAAGGCCTGTCGGCTGGATGCGGCCCTTTGCTTGCCTTTATCCGACCCTTGGGGCACTATTCCTCCCACTGATACCAATAAAGATTTATCATTCTTTTTAACTGACACCAACAGTGGGGTTTAATTGCTCTCACTGACACCAATGATGGGGCACTATTCCTTCCACTGGAAGCAATGTTGGGACATAATTCATCCCACTGCTGATACCCAAGTATTGGAGGAGACAGGAGGTGCCGAAAATAAAAGACTGGATGGATAGGGTGGATCAAATATGTAAATTGGAGGAACTTTATCATTTGAATGAAGATAAGATGGAGAGTCACTACCAGATGGAACAAATGGGAGGAATTCAAAAAGTCAAGGCTAGCCTTAGAGGTTATGG